TCCTCTGGGACTGACCAGTTTGATTGCCTTGCAGTCCAAGGAACTCGCAGGAGTCTTCTCCAGCACCATAGTTCAAAGGCCTCAATTCTTGAGGGTCTATTAAGTACAATTACTTAATAAATGGGACCTAAAGCAAGCAAAATCTGTTGGATTACATGGGATGGACAGGCTTTCACTACAGATGAAAGATCATCCTTCAGATGACCAGATTATGGTATGAGTCACATTAAGTAGTAGTTAGTAGGATCTTGAATTGCACCCAGAAACTTACTGATAACTATTATAGCCCATGGAATCAAGCTTGCTTATAACTCTTAGGTCACTACACTCTGGACCAGCTGTAACCATGGTGACCAAAGCATAGGGAAAAGGATTTTCTAGTCCAGAAATGAGCCCAATTGGCAGATAGCTGCCAGTTGCTCCTTGAGTAGGAGCTGGGATTTTCAAAGAATCCACAAACATTCTGTCTTATTATGGTTGAGCTTCAGCCTATTCCTCTCCATTCAGACTTCAAAGCCCAGGACATGATCCTGAGAGCATTGCTTGGTATACTGATGACATCTAACCCCAAACCGATGAATGACCTCTCTTACCATTTCTATTTAACTATTAAACAAGAAGGCTAAGCTTGGTAACACCTCACAAATTAGGTATCTTGGACTTGACTTTTCACCACACCTATACCAACCGGAATCAATCACAGAGAAAGGAGAAAAATCACCATAACACTGTATTTCCTATCCCCACTTCCCCGCAGCTGGAGAGCATGATGATTGTAACACCCCTGTCCCAGCTCCAATGTTTGCTATCTCAATATTGTGTACTATGTCCTGGCCCAAATTCTGATTTAAAAGACTGCAGATAATACGTTTCTCTTAGAGACCTCTGCAACTGTCTACCTTCTCAACAAACCTCCTCAGAAGGGAGAAGGTGGAGACAGAATGAAAATTGTCTAGGAGGATCCATTGACGGCACTCTGAGATGAGTGAGCCCTTGTGCAGCCCACCACTGCTCAGCCACGGCAACGGGAGCAGCAGGAGAAAGAAGATGGTGGTCAGGTGGAGGATGGGAGTGGAGTGTAGGATGGCCAAAAGGGGAGAGATGAGGGAAAGGGAATTTAGGCGGGTAAGGAGAGATGAAATGCACGCTGCAATCTTAAATGCAGGCAAGCTGCCAAGTGCCAGAATTTGGTTCACATGACCACAAGGGCATTGCAACAGCCATAACTTTGAAAACCAGCCATAATTACCATTTGTTCAGCATTGTCATAATTTTGAAGAGTCACTGAATGGTGTCTGGTGATCAAGAAAGGAATACCTGATTAAGGCCCTCAGAGAAACCCTCAGAGAAATGGACCAGCGTATCTCAGGAAAAACTCATGCTCATTTTGAAACCCATCCAGTTTCTAGGGTAGGCACATCTCTTTGATGGGAGAAGAGTCGCCAACAAACAAAAAACCAATCAGAGAATGACCTGGCTGTGACAAAAGACACACTATCCTTCAATCCTCAGGTCAGGTTGCAAAAGCTCCAAGATAAAACTAGATTTAATGTACCACCTCTGGTAACTCGTAGCTCTTGATTATCTGGGTCAAGTTCAGTCCCAATTCAATGCCATCTGGGGCAAATTAAAATCCCACAGATTATCAGCCTTGGGGATTCCATTGCCAACACAGCAATGGAATCAAATAGCATTGACAAGCCTATGGCTGATTCAGCAGCAACAAATCCAACTACAAGATCTCACGTCTATTTCTCTACAGCACAAAGCCTCTAAAAGCTGTCAAAGCTTCCTGAGTGACAGCTGCCATCTCGCCAGCCCCAGGTCATAGCTGTTGTCAGAATACAATACCTAGGGACTCCAGGCTGATCCCTCTTTTAATTCCGCCCCAGGTTCTGCCAGTCCTTCTCCTACACACTTAAAATCTGAGATTATCACACAACAAAAAAAGAGAACGCCCTTTATAAATGGTTACCAATAACAATTTAGAGAAGTTTACTACCATAAATTTAAGGATTTCCACACTGAAAAGGCAAAAAGTACAAAATACAGTGCCAAGTTTCTCAATTTTACAGCAGTGTCTAAATCTTTCCCAACTCTCAACAAAGAGGTTTAGTGAACATTTTTGGTATTTCATAAGCATCCTGGTAAAGTTTCACATAGTTCTGGTGCACAGTATCAGATTTCTGAAAATAGTATTCAGACTAGGAAATGAAAAATTGGTAAAAGTGTTTGAATGACTGAAAAGTGGACTTATCTAATCATTTAGTTGCACTGTCAACAGTAGCACTGATAACTAAGGGAGAAAATCTTTCAATGTTTAACCTTAGTATTACATGCAAAAGTGTTAAAATAGCCAGTCTAAATCACGTTTTCTATTCTATAGAACTGTTATTCACCTCCTTACAATATTTGGCCTGAAATGCTCACCTATATCAATAAAAACAAGGAAACATTTACTTACAAGAAAAATCTAGGATTCGTTGTTTTGTATATAGTGCATAATGAAAGAGTTATTAATGTAGGGTTTTTTCCCTTTTAACATTTTTTTAATGTTTTAATTTCAGAGGATCCAAGAAAAGATTGGGAAGCCATTTATCTAGTCTGATACAAGGACTTTTGTAGTGATCCACTATCAGAATTAAGAATGCACTGGATTATTTCCAAGGCAATGCTTCCATAGTTAAAGGAATAAACAAGACGTTTGTGCTTTAATTTGGACAAAACACAGAAAGATTTTGGTTACTCCTCCAAGGATTAAGAAAAGGTTAATACAGAAAGTACCTTAAAACCTAACTTCTATTGTGACAATCTTCCTAGTACTATTTGAACATTCAAGTTAAAGGACCTGACCAAGAATCAATAAAATTTAAATATATGGGTATATATTATAAATGTATATAAATAAATACAGCCTGGTTCATAATTTAGCTGTTGGTTACACCTGCTAACTATGTTTTCATATTTTAAATAGATGCCAGGCTAAGTAGGTTGGGTAAATAGAGTTGTAGAAATCTATAAATTGTGTGACTGCTTCACAAAGGGGGAGACGTTATTATCTTTGAAATATATTTATCAGTATTCAACTGGGGGGGGCAATTTACATATATATTTGTTTTGTCATGTTTATGCACTTTTTTGGTGTAGTCTTGTTTAGCTTTGTTTTGTTTTTGTATTCCTTTGGGGGGGGGGGAGTTTGTATTTTAATGTTTTAAATAAAATAAAAATTGAGTTGAGAAAAGAATAAAGCCCGATTCATAAAACTAGCCATTTTGCAATATTAAAACATCATGTTTTTCATGGCCAGTTTTACACTGTGAAAGCAAATTCATCCTTCCCATTTAAAATACAGTTTTACGTTTTATTGAAGTAGTTTAAAATTAAACTATTTTATATTGCATGGCTACAATGTTATATTATTGCTTCTTGTATATAGAGATAAAAAAATTAATTATTAAAGAAAAACGTGCATTTGTTTCCTTCTATACCATAAGCTCAGAAAGCTCATTATGCATTGTGGTGGATATTGAATTCATTCATTTTATCATTTTACAAAGTCACTGTATTGCTGAATTGCAGTTGGAGAACTGCTTTACATATGAATACTTGAAGAACCGAGCACAATAATAAAGTGATGATTTTATATTACAAAAAATCAACCTTTTTTCAGGCAATGTACAAACTTCAGTTTTAAACTCCTATTTAAAAAAAAAAACTCTGAATGTTTTCGTATTTGTGCCAATCATGTTCTGGCATTATGTCATCCAATGTCTTATTATTTCAAGCACATGTCTTTTATGGGTGACCAACCAAAGTTTATTGCAGATATTTAAAAGAATGAATAACTTAACCTCTGCAAAAGGGATGACAGCAGCCCTGTTTATGACATGATTATGCACCACTGCTGGGTAGTCATGCCATTAACAGGTGCAGCAAAATAAGGAGAGAGAGAAGAATACAGCCAAAGTTCACACTTAATTGAACTTGCAAAAAAAAAAAAAAGTAGCCTCATCAGTTGCAAAATAGGTTCTTCACAAAGCAAAGATAAGGAATTTCTTTTCCCTGTGCAGCATTACTAGGGATGTTTAAAATAATCCTAATAACTGATATTGGGGGTAGGGGGTGGAATACCTACCCTGCATTGTTACTGACAGCGGTTATTCCTTTTACACCAGTCTTCAACAAAGCTCCTATGAGGTTCTCTGGAATTCCACAGAGCCCAAAACCTATGTGATACAAATTGTTCAGCAGTAAATAACTCTTATTTTGAAAATATAGTTCTCCCATGCCGATCCACTGACCCAATTCTATTTCCCAATTCAGGAGAAGGCATCCTATAACTTGGATTTTGGAGCAGCCTAAACGTTTAGTCAATAATCAAAATAAGACACCCCAACACTATAGTTTGTCATGCACAAAAGACCTGAAGAAGCTGACAGAAACTCACTGATAATTCAAACCCTAGCATCCCAATGAGCTGTGAACTGTGTGAGCTGTGAAATGAAATTGGGGCCGGGTGGGAGGAAGACCTGAATCATAATTGAAAACAGAAAATATTTTCTTGGTAATATATAAGCATGTTATACACTGAAAAGTCTTGAAAGATGTTTAACACCTTAGATCTCAGTCTATTTCTGCAAAGGTAGGACTGAAATACACATCACATGACTGATGAAAGTTATAATAAATTTGATAATTTTTGTAACCAAAAACTTTACAGTAAAGGAAGTTACCAAATTATTATAATAGATTTATTAACATTGCTAGTAATCTTTATTTAGTGACCATATTTGAGACTGGCAACTTAGTTATTAAGTGAAGCAGTTGCAAAGTGAAAAATCATGTGGGCACAAATCTGCTTATGATATTACTTCAGATTTCCTTTTCTTTACAAACCTGCAGAGGTTGTCAGTCATTGGTCACAAAGTTACCTTTTCACGACCATCATGAATGGTCGCTAAGCAAGAGCTATTTGTATTCAGAATGCATATTTGCTCACTGCTTTTCTTATACATTGAATTTTATACTGCTTTAATCTTCCTGAGAATGAGTCATGTAATACCTCAGCTTTCACACTAAAACGATCTACTAACTTATTATCTTGTCCTATTTTCCAGGCTGAAGCAATTTTCTTGTTCATAAATTTGTAGCTCATAAATTCAAAGCCATTTAGAAGAACAATGGACAATGTTGAACAACCTTATTTGAGGGAACAATCATATGTAACTTTTGAATGTGATACCAGAAGACACTGCCCAATGATAAGTAGGATCAGGACAAAATTAGAAGTTAGAACTAGAACAAAACATAAACCATGATTTAATTTCCATCAGTATTTAAATGAGATAAATAAATAAAAATATTCCACCTATTCAAAAGACATGATTGAGTGGTAATTTCTAGAGAGCCACTGGTTTCTGCGATCTCAGGGTATTGCACCCATTATTTAAAATCTTTACACTATCAGTTTTTAAGGATTTTTATGGAGTTCGGAACTAATATCTGCATTTTGGCCCATACTGTTTTTGAAATATTAAGTATTTTTTCCAAATTTATTTTACCCCAAATTATAAACAGAACAAGCATATTCAGTCTCACTAAGCCATGCAGCTTCTACATGCTTGAACAGTTCTGCAATCTTAGAACACAAGGTAAAGTCTTGCTCAAACAAGACTTTTTTTAACAGTGTGGAAAACATATACTATTATCTTTTTCTGATGTGTATTTCTGATTCCTTGATTTCCACTAAACCGCAGGGCTGTAGACTAAATAAATCTACCTGAGAAAAAGACAGTGGGACAATAGTCATCTCCCAATAAAGTACTAAACAGTTTTTATTCTGTTTAGTTTTTTTTTTAATCAGCCAAAGTACTATATAGCCTATCTCCATACATACATCACAGCAGTGGTGGGATTCAAAAATTTATACTACCGGTTCTGTGGGCATGGCTTAGTGGCCATGGCAGTGGAAAAGATATTGTAAAATCTCCATTCCCATCCCACTCCAGGGGAAGGATACTGTAACATCCCCATTCTCTCCCCACTCTAGGGAAAGGATACTGTAAAATCCCCATTTCCTCCCGATCATCTGGGACTTGGGAGGCAGAGAATAGATGGGGGTGGGGACCGGTCAGAGATAGCATTTACCGGTTCTCCGAACTACTCAAAATTTCTGCTACTGGTTTTCCAGAACTGGCCAGAACTTGCTGAATACCACTGATATACCTCTGCATATCAGGTGTACATAATCTAGATGTACCTCTTATAGAGGCATGCATGAAACATTGATAATTACAGATTTAAATACATACAGTCCCCGAGACTAGTAAATCAATCAGTAAGTGAGGCAGTCACTAAATAGGAAATTACATGATTGAGACTGTGCTTTCCGGCTGGAAAGAGACACGACTTTTGTTCTGACTTTCACACCTTCAGATTTTGTTCACCTAACATTTCCCTGCCCTTTGGAATGCTCAAAGTGCCTGCTTACTATCTTGTACCCATCGAAAGCAATGAATTGCATCACAGCTCAGGGCTGGGAGCTGCAAACCTGCTACATGAACATCTTACTCTCTTGAAATATCTTGCTCTTCCTCTGCATACCCTAACAGGGGAGGTGTGGCGGCAAGGATCAGGCAAAGGAGAGGTTGCTTGCAGAAATTGCTTTTTTTTACTCCCCGCTTGCAGAGTAAAAAGATTAGAAACAAGATCTGTACAAAGTAAGGTTGTTTTGTGATCACATTTATTAATTATTTTTATTTATTTATAAAATTTATTGACCGCCCATCTTACCACAGGGTAACTCGGATCAGCTTACAATCATAAAATATAAACACAGATATATACTCACATAGGTAAGCTACACAAACCGCTTACTCTCTTGAAATCACTTCCTCTCCAGTCTTTCCACTCTGGCAAAGGTGGGGGAAGAGGTCAGGCAAAGAAGAAATTGCCCATGGAAATCACTTGCTTTTTTATTTCTATCCCTGGCAGAGCCGAGAGATTGGAGAAGAAGAGATTTCAAGAAAGTACTATAAGCTGTTTGCAGAGCGCATCCATGCTTCCCAGCATGATTGAATTGCTTTCAAGCAAACAGCTTACTCTCTTGAAACCTTTCTCTCCAATCTCTCAAAGGGGGGGGGGAAGCTACAGCTCAGGCACAAGACACCCCATATTGGCTATAATGGAGATCATGTGACTGATGAATTGTAAATTTCTTTTTTCAGCACCATTGTAACTTTGAACAGTTGCTAAAAGATCAGTAAGTGAGAACTACCTGTCGTTTACATTGGAAAAATAGTGGAATTTCACTACTTACCACCAACAAGGAGAGTGGACCCATTGGGTATGTCTTTTACTGCTTCTACTGGATCAGTATAAAATTGGGTATTGTGACAGGAACTGGTTGAAAAATAGCAGCCACAAGTCTAAAAGTGAAGAGGGGAAAAAGGGCGGGGGAGGAAGATGAGAATGTCATGGATCCGACATTATACAGTTAGTCCACATAACAGATTTCATGACTGTGTGTATTCTGTATAACACCTTCAGATGTACATAAAGCAATTTCCATTGATTTAGAATTGCAAAGTATCCACAAAATGCAAATTGGTTTTACATCACACTAAAACCTCACACATACACACACGCACACGCACACACACACACACACAAACATAGAATGCAATACTCTCGTTATTCTACTAATGAATTTAACAACCAAAAATAAAAACTATATATATGGGAAATAAACTACAACTTAACAAAGAAAGATCTAAATAATGTACAAGTTCAGTCTTTGCTTATTATTAAATATAAATCATATAGAAACTTACTGCGCCTCTTTTGCATTTCTACCTTATAAAAGAATCTCACAAATTTACAAAGCACACATCTCTTGAATTCAGTCTTTAATATTTTGTGTTAGTTTTTGTTTCTATTTATATATTTTTTGTTCCTATTTATATATATATATAACAGAAACCCAATATTTTTTACTGTTGCCTTTTTTNGATAGATAGATAGATAGATAGATAGATAGATAGATAGATAGATAGATAGATAGATAGATAGATAGATAGATAGATAGATAGATAGATAGATAGAGCGAGCTTTATTTCAGGCCTTTCCTATCTCAAAACGTGGGAAAATATGCCATCAGTTTTCAGCAACTATAGTCAGAAGTAGCTCTGACGTCTGCAAGAATGGGGTGGCTGGTTCTCAAGTTATTGACTTCAATCTTAAGACTATAAAACATGGTTTATGATATGGATTATAATGGGCATGGTTTCTATGGACACATAGGAAAAAATCATATTTGCACACCATTCAAGAGACAATAAAAAAAGCTAAGAAGGAAACAAAAAGAGCAGAACACATCTTCCCCAGCAACCAACATTTCAAATAAGCAGGGATTAACACCAGACAAAGAATCAAGCAGAAAACAATTCCTAATCAAGGAGAAAAGTACACCTCTATCAACACTGGCAGGGCAAGCTACTGTATAAAAAATAGGGAACAAACCACACATCACACTGATGATGTTATCTAGTTGAGTAATGAAACATCTGCAAACAAGCACAGAAATCACCAAGGATTCTACTGATGAACCCTGAGCTACATACATTTTCTTCTACTTTTATAATTTTCCAGAATAACTATTCAAATTTTATTACATATGTTGGCTTAACCTGCCTCCAACATATAAAAGCTTGTTCCATTTCAGATTTTGTACATTATTCTGTAATATTAAAAAGGGGTAGGATGAATGTTCAGAAATGTTAACCTTTCTCAATCATGTGACTTTTTTTAGCATAGCTTATAACTTGAAATGTAGAAGAATTCTAAGTTATGAATGTTAATTCGCAACTTCTATATTTCAAAAATAAAGCTAAATTCAAGGGTGTTTTTTTTTTAAAGAAAAAACTCAGTACTTTGAGGTATGATAAACCGTATTCATCAGCTTCTGATTTGTTTCCAGGATAAAATCAAAAGCTATAATAACACTGTTTTGGGACCACAGTATCTGAAAACGAGAGAGATTTGATTGATCTAGTGATTTAGCATCAAGTTAGAATTCAAAAACTCAGCATTCTATTCAGCCTTAGGCATCAAAGGTGGCTGGATAACTTTGGGGCAGTCATTTTCTCTCATCTCACAAGCTCAGGCTCAGGCAACAAGCCAGTTAATCAACCAATGGACCACTGATGGGATTCAATTTTTTTTTACTACTGGTTCTGTGGGCATGGCTTGGTGGCGTGGCTTTGCAGGCATGGCTTGGTGGGCATGGCAGGGGAAGGTTACTACAAAATCCCCATTCCCTCCCGATCCGCTGGGACTTGGGAGGCAGAGAATAGATGGGGGTGGGGCCAGTTAGAGGTGGTATTTACTACTCAACTACTCAAAATTTCTGTTACCGGTTCTCCGGAACTGGTCAGAACCTGCTGAATACCACCTCTGCAATGGACTAATACACAGTTGATCTGGGGAAAAAGAAGACCCTTGTGCACTTGGAAGAAAATGCTAGGAAGAAAAATAAAGTATTTGGAAGTAAGCATTTTCCCTGAAGACTCATTCAATCCATTCTCCTGAATATTTAAAAGGAAGCTGACATCTTAGATTTGTTGAAAACATAGCAATGGAAACAGACCACTTTTCTCTGTGGAATCACTCCTTCTTAATAGACGATTATCTTTAAAAAGGAGGATCATCCTTCTTTCTAGTAAATGTAACAATTGCTGCTGTTTGTGTTTATTATTTTTAAATTTTTAATCTTATTTTCTGCAGCTACAGTTTCTCCTAAGAACTCTCAAAAACAGCAACTGGCATGTTGTATAAATCAGCAAACCATGATGTAGCCCCCTCTAAGCTCTTGCGACCATTTTGAAGGAACCTTTGGCCCAAAAGCAGCCACAAGGCATTAGCCTACAGATGATCCTCAACCCAGGATCATAATTGGGACCAGAATTCCCATTGCTTGTCAAGTGTATTGTGCCTGGTTTTTATCACTTTTTTCCCCATGGTTTTTTAACAGGGGTGGGCTTCAAAAATTGTAGCAAGGGTTCTCTGTCCGATGCTGGGCGGATGTGGCCATTGTGGGTGTGGCCTAGACAGCCTCCTGCACCATGGCTGGGAGGGCGTTTTGGCCCTCCCCGGGCTTTAGAGGCTTTTTCTGAGCCTCCGGGAGGGCGAAAACGGCTCCAGAGGCCCTCTGGAGGCCGGAAACAGGCCCATTTCTGGCCTTCCCAAACTTCCAGTAGGCCTGTTTTTCACCCTCCCCCAAGCATCCGTGCACGCCTTGCACTTACCTTCATCCAAAACAGGGGACTCCTGGGAAGAGTGGGCAGAGCATGGGGACTCCTTGGGGGGGAGGGTAGGCAGAGCCAGCCAGGAGTCAGATTTGGGGGTTCTCCAAACTGCACAGAATCTTAAGCTAGAGGTTCTCCCAAACCCCTGCCAACCCCCATCAGCCCATCCCTGGTTGTTAAATGAATCACTGTAATGGTTAGGTAAAATGCATCATTAAGCAAATCTTCCCTCCCACATTAATTTTGCTTGTCAGATGTCAGTTGGTAAGTCACAAATGGTGATCACATACCCCAAGATGCTGCCAACATGATAAGCACATTCTGGTTGCCAAGTGCCCAAATTTTGATTATGTGTCTGTTTGGATGCTGCAACATTTGCAAGTGTAAAGACCAATTGTACGTGGCTTTTTAAAGTGCTGTTGTAAGTTTGAACAGTTGCTAAATGAATAGCTATAAGTCAACGGCTACCTATATTTGTACAAGAGAAACACGAGCTTCTTATTACAAGTATGAAATAGCTTTACCCAGTTAATAAGATAATGTTATCACTTTCGTTATCCTCCTGCTGTTAATGGGTTTGTTCTAAGTTTGTGTATAAGGTAAAGGTAAGGTTCCTCTCGCACATATGTGCTAGTTGTTCACAACTCTAGGGGGTGGTGCTCATCTCCGTTTCAAAGCCAAAGAGCCAGCGCTGTCCAAAGATCATGTGACTGGCATGACTAAATGCTGAGGTTGCACAGAACGCTGTTACCTTCCCACCAAAGGTGGTCCCTATTTTTCTACTTGCATTTTATGTGCTTTCGAACTGCTAGGTTGGCAGAAGCTGGGACAAGTAACAGAAGCTCACTCTGTTACACGGCGCTAGGGATTCGAACTGCCAAACTGCCAACCTTTCTGATCGACAAGCTCAGCATCTTAGCCACTGTCCCTAAGTTTGTGTATATCTTAGAAATAATGCCTTGAAAGAGTGATATGGATAAGGAAATCTGATTTTACCCTGGAATACAGTGAACATACCATTACCTATTCCTGGCTTGATTAGGTGGAATTTTAAGAATTAAAGACTGGGACCTTCAAGAAGATGCAGTGGGGTGGAAGGAAAGCTTACAGTATTTTCTTGCCACATTATTTCCATGTAGATTGTTGAAGCCAGCCTTCTGCATCATAATGCCTTCCAGATGTTATGAAGCTGTAATTGCAGATAGTCCTCAACTTATGACCACAACGGAGCCCAAAATTTATGTTGCTAAGCAAGACATTTGTTAAGTGAGGTTTGCCTCATTTTACGACCTTTCTTGCCACATTTGTTAAGTGAAGTTTTTAAGTTAGTAACACAGTTGTTAAGTGATTCTTTTCTCAGCTTTCCCATTGACTTTGCTTGTCAGAAGGTCACAAAAGCTGATCACATTACCCCGGGATATCGAAACTGTCATAAAGATGAGTCAGTTGCCAAGTATCTGGTTTTTAATCACTTAACCACGGGGATACTGCAACAGTCATAAGAGTGGAAAATGGTCATAAATCTCTTTTTCTAGTGCTGTTGTAAATTTGAACGGTCACTACATGAACTTCTGTAAGTCAAGGACTACCTGTACATCACCAGAAGTAAGACAGGACTACATACCTACCTACCTACCTCTGCATTTGTTTCTTAGGCCCTCTGAATTATAAGAGCCCTAGTGGCACAGTGGTTAGAATGCAGTATTGCAGGCTAACTCTGCCCACTGCCCAGAGTTCAATCCTGACTGGCTCAAGGATTCCTTCCATCCTATGGAGGTTGGCAAAATGAGGGCCCAGATTGTTGGGAGCAATATGCTGACTCTGTAAACTACTTAGAAAGGGCTGTAAAGCACTATGAAGCAGTATATACTGTATTTTTCAGTGTATAAGACGCACCTTTCCCCCCCCAAAAAAGAGGGTGAAAATCTGGGTGCGTCTTATACACTGAATACATCATTTTTGGCCTCCTGAAACCCCCGTCACAAAAATGGCCATGCAGATGCTTTTGGAGGCCTGCAAAGTGCTTTTGGGGGCTGGGGAGGGGAAAAACAAATGAAAATGCCATTTTTTGCTCATTTTGCCCCCCCCACCTCCAGCCCCCAGGAGCCCTCTACAAGCCTCCT